AGTATTTTTTAAAAATATATATAATATTTTATTTTAAATAATTATCATGATCAAATTGAATCATTGTTTGAAAAGAAAGGGGAACTTTTAAAGTGACGAAAGTCACTTCATCCATTGATCAGGTTTAAAAAAAAAACCCATAAGATTTAATTCATATCTCAAAAGAGTAAGCCATTCATTTTGGCAGTTGATCAAAACTATGCATGAATAGGGATTATACCTGACACTCCGCCTTAACCAATATCTTCTCACAAGTCACAAGATAGGTCTGGGTCGATATATTCGTTGGTAGAGTCCTTTGATGGTTGTATCAACGACCTAAGATTTAATCATGCCTCTAGTAAATGGAAAATTAACTTTTTTTATAAAACAAAATCATAACTCACAGTATCAAAAAGGGAAATTCTGATAATTTATTTGCAATTTTGTTTGGCCTTTCTTTTTTTTTTGGTTTCCTGCCCGGTATCTGGGGCTTCGCTCCGACTACTCCGGACTCGACCAGCTATGACGCACCAGAATGGTGAGTGCGTCTCCCAACAAAAGTTACTGCATACAAAAGATTTCGAACTCGAAACCTTACTTAAGCTGGAATAAGCCGCTTGCCACTTGATCCAATCTCTCGTTGGTATTTGTTTGTCCTTTTTAAGAACCATTTTTGTCCACTTTAGCAAGGAACGTTAAGATACACATTAAAGAAGATCATCAAAATTCCAATTATGGAATATCAAAATCACTTAAGCTTGAAAGTTTAATATAATATCAAAAAATCGTTTCAGCTGAAAATTAAAAGAAGTCAAATGGGAGTCCGAGAATAGAATTAGCTGTTAATTATAGACCTAAAGAAAAAGGATTTGAGTGGGGAAATGGTGATAGAAAAATGATGGCCCTTGTAAACAAACAATAGATCTTTCATGGGAGTGGAAAGGCAGGACAAGGTACATGCAAATGCACGCGCCTGAAAATGAAGGACATTTATTTGGGGTAAACCATGAAGAACATGATGAAAGCAATGATGGTGGAGAGAAGAACTATAATGGACCAACCTTGAAATATGCAGCCTGCGTACTGTGTCTCTATATGTCAAGAGGAGACACATGAATTAGCATGCAAATGCAATTCTTCTCAATAACACAACCTCATAAATAATGCATCAGAAATTCCCATCATTTAGGCCCTAAAAGAAACACATAATCAAGTCGATTCATGCACTGTAGCTCTTCATGCCAAGTCTTGGCATGGGGCTTCGGATTAATTTAGGCTGGGGAACATATAGTCACATATGTACTTTAGTAATTGAGCTACAATCTTTGCTGATAAAAAAAAAAAAAAATTGAGCAACAATCTTAGGGCCTCAAGTTTTTCGTAGTTTTAATAGTCAATTATTATGGGTGTTGCAAAACTGGGCAATTTTAGAGTTTTATCAAATTATGATCAAGAGAAAAATTTTAATTCATATCATACTCATTGAATCATGTAAAATTTTTTATTATATCTTGTTTCAACAATTTTTAAAACAAAAAGGCAGAATGGGGAATTGAAACCCATGGTTGGCTGCTAATTTTCAATGAATTTGGTATTTGGATCTTTGTATTAGTACTATCACTTTCTCCTCTGTCAACAATGCTTCTTTATTTGGTCTTTCAAAAGGAATTTCAACAAAGCATAAATCTGATCTTTAAAAGATGCCAACACAAATTTCCACATTGTTGGAATATTGATATCCTGAATGATTAGCTCAAAACAAAGAAATAAGACAAAGCAAATCCCGAAGAACACAGTACTGCATTGTCTCAGACACAAGGAAAAGCATTAGTTAAACTTTTGATTAACAGGGGAGGATCCAATGAGTTGCCACAAGATGACAAAGACAGATGTTGCAGAGATTTATAGACAAAGACAACAACAACGACCCCACAACGAGTCATTTACAACTGGGAAATTCTCGTTTTATATTAAACTAACGAGATACACCGAGAGACATGCCTCCCATTTCCTGAAATTTCTTGATACTTATTGTATTAGGTTACATCATGAATAATGCAGATTGAGATTCTTTGTTTTTCATCTAAAAGTTACAAGGCATTTCTCAAGGATTTCCAAAAAAGAAACAAAAAACTGATTTGTATATGTTACCAATAGAATTTTCATTGCCACTGACCTGAAAATGAACAAAATTCACTCAATTCTTTTCACTGGTATTTCTATTAATGGATAGCAACTTACTGAACATTTTTTTAGGTCGTGAAGGAAGAGCGCAGAATGCCTTAAACTTGGAACGTCGCGCAATTCCATCCGGGTTTATATCAATGTCATCCAAATCATCTTCGTCAAGCTTCATCCTTAGAGTTGAGAGTTTGGACTTGGGGGATTTTAGGCCTGAGACACTCCATTGATCCTCTGCTTGTACACTCGTTGTGGTGCTTAATGGCGCTGTAGGACGTGATGGATCAATCCCATGTGCGGCTAGAAGTGCCTTAATGTTGCTTGGAAGATCAGTCACTTTGCCACCAGCCATGGCAGCTCGAGCTTGCTCAAAGAAGAGAACTTGTACCACCACCCTGAGAGGAAGTTTTTCATTTTGTGCTGCATGCATGCAGGCCTCAACAGATAGTTTTTTGCAGTCCAAAATCCGGCACAGCCTTTTCCTTTCGCTCTTGTTTAGATCCGGATGTGCCTGGAATATTCAAAGAGAAGAACTTTAGCAATTTTGATCCTTAGTTTTCTGCATGTTGATGCCAAGACACAATGGTTAAATAAGAGTTTATGGTAATCATGCAGTGACTTCATTCCATCTTGAAAATTAAGGAAAATTATTAATATAAGGATACCTAATAGCCTACTGATATCTAGACCTAGGGTCACTCCTTAAATGTCAATAAAGGTATAATTAAGTTATGAATGTGCATGAATAATTAGTGACCGTAACGCAGGAACCACGAGTGCTAAATTTGTTAGGTCAGTCTAATCCTAACTGCCAACAAATAAAGATGAAGCAAAATCCCCAGGTCAAAAGAGTTGTTTATCTACTGAAAATGGTGACCCACATGCAAAAATGTGATGGTGAAATATTCTAAAAATTCAACAGAATTGTAAACCATGGTGAATTTTTGGTGTTCAAGGGATCTGTGATTTTACCTTTAGATAAATGTCAATGGCACGGTAGAGATCATCGTGGACAAGCCTAGAGAAATCCGGGATGGTCTCAGCTATTGCAATGAATTTTGACAAAGGTAAATTAACATCTCTGGCAATCTCTTGAAGATACCCATCTACAAGCTTTGCTACTTTCAATTTGGAGCTATGTGATGCTGAAGAAGACCTCCTACTCTCTTGAAACTCAAAATCAATGTTCTCCGCTGACCGAGACCTTCTCCTTTCAAACTCCAGCTTGGATCTTGGAGGGCTGGTTGGGGGACTCTGCCCTTGTAACATGAACTGTTCCAAAATGATCAAAACTATGTCTACATCATATAGTGTATCGCTTGAGTATGACAGAGAGGGTATTAGCAAATCGCTGACTCTAGCTTCCTCAAGCTGAAGTCCCACTCTTCTAGCCAATTCCATCTTTGAAGAAGAGGAAGCACCAAGAATGTTGGCTGCCTTTAGGAGTTTAAGCAGAAAACTGCAAGAAACAACACCTTTTTCTGCTGGGAGCAAACTCACTATCGATTCCAAGAGTAGCCTGTGCTTCGACGTAACCTCATTTCCTGAGTCTGAATCCGAGTCAGATTCTACTTGCTTATGGCCATTTCTCTCTCTGGATATGTTTGGTAGCCATCTAGACGCATAAACTTGCAATGCTTCACCAATGAGACTAGAGGGCATCTTCCCAGCAGATTTAATTGCTATCATAGTTCTCCAATAGAGGTCAATCCCCAACTCAGCCATATCTTCAGCCCACCAGCCACTGGTTGTTGGCCTATGCCTGTGGATCTCTCCTCCATCGCAAGATATATCATCCCTCACCCTCCGTGAATGACTATGGGACAAGCTGACCTTGGAGGGGTGAGTGAGGACCTTAGACGCGATTGCTTCCATGCATCTGCTTGTTATTCCAAGGTCTTCTGACCATAAAGGAAAGGCTTTTGTGGTCTGTAGACACACAATTGAGTCCCTCCAGCCATTAAGAATACATGAATTGAAGAAAACCTCAAGCTTGTAGATCAAGTTCCCCTTCTCAACATCTTCTATCATTTGCAAATACTCTGCAGCACAGCGTGCAGCTACGATGTTGTAGGCACTGAGGGTTATTGTGATGCCATAACAGAACTTTGCACACAGCTCAAATGCCTCAATTCCACCAGGGAAATCTGGCAGCTGGACTATTTGATGTTGGGATGTTTCAGAGGATTCAGAGCACAGCCGCTGCAGCCTCAAACACTTGGACAACAGAGGAAACTGCATATCAAGAATATGCAAAGAGTCATTACCAACAAGATCAAAGATCATAAGTAAACTGAATTCATAAACTTTCAAAAAGTACAGAAAATCTCACCTTGTGAAGCAGATATCTACTTTCTTTCACTTGAATTATAAGGTCACTAGAGACTTCAGAGGAGACACACCTATATCAAGAAAAGAGATTCCTGGTATTTTCCTCAACAAACTAATATCATCCAAAACTAGTGAAAATAACCATACCTTACAGCCTCAGCAGTGTAAAAAGTGTCAGGGCGAGATCCCAGTTTCATAAACTTCATGACTGATTCTTCTTAATTTTTCCGCTCACTTGGCCTGAGTAAAGTTCAGAAGATACTTCTTAACATTCTGGAATCTAATACAATCAACTTCATGATTCATAAAAAGCTTCCACTTTACTGCTCCACAGTCCGAAAGCCAGAAATTAATCTTCCTAACTAAGCAACCCAGCTGGAAATTTTAACAAACAGAACTTGGTCTCTAAAAAGTGAAAATCACCTAGACAATAGATGAAAAGAAAGAAAATATCAAGGTGGAATTTTCATGGAAAAGATAGATACAGTACAAAATAGTGAAGAAGAAAGAAGTGCCAAAGTTAAGTTGTGGGTGTAAAGTGTAAACCCTCTGAGTTTTATATATAGAACTGTACGACACACAAATACTCCAAGTGACAGAAACTCAGATGATCAAAGAATCTCAAATTCCATACCTCATGTGATTTTGACATGAAAACAAAGAATCAAACCCACAAGAAAAAACCCCTGACAAACCAATTTCTTTAATTACAAAACCCTTAATCATCCCCAAATCAACAGGCAAAAAATTACTCAAATTAGGAAGAATGAAATGGTTCCAAGGGAAAACAACCTGAAAGCTAATGTGTTAGGAATGAATGTGGGATACATATTTTGCCTCAGTTTTGTAATGTAATCTTGAGAATGGATATGAGGGGTGAAGGGACTTTTGCCATGACCGTGCCAGCGTGCTATGAGAAAGGCAACTCCCACGTGCTTAGCCTGCGCACACTGCTGCTCCTCTCTCTCATCATTGCCACACCATTTTTTTTACGGTGCAGCCCTTGATTATTTTAGTCAAACACTAATTTATACGCAACATTGTACACCTATAAATTCCCATTTTCATTTTTAATTGTACCATCATAAAAAAAAAAAAAAAAAGAAGAAGGAATATTATTAGAATTTAAAAGGTAAAATGCTAGAAAAGGGTATGCCATTTTGTAAATGTATATGTGCTTTTGTAAATTAATGAACAAAGAATACAGAAAAAGTAGAAGAATAATGCTAAAAGGAGGAATATAGGATATATGTATCACTATCACAATTTGCTTTTGACATTGCCCTTGTTTTTGCTCTAGAATATCAGAGGCGGACTTTTGTCCTTTTATTTTTTATATAATAATTCCATAATATCATAAGTCAATTTTTACCCATTATATTATATTATATATACTTTTTTAATTTAATTAAAATTAAGCATTTCACAAAAATTTACATTTTTGTTAAACTTCTCCTAGAATCAAATTTTTAGTCAACAATGTGGGCGAACCCGTTTTACACTCTAGGTTGTCATTCCTTTGGAATAAATGAAGTAGACTTTTCTTGAATTTATGCAATATGGTCCATTTCCAGGGACCTCTGCCTTTGAGAGATTGAAGCTTTTGCAGATTTTATGAAATGGAGAAAACGTGTAAATTTTGGCAGTTGAAGGTCTTGTTCAACTTGTTTTTCATTGGATTCTTACATGCCATGACTTTTTGATTCTTTGGTTGGAGGACTTTTTCTATCCTTTGCTTTTTCCTGGGAATCATTTTCATATTGAGGAGTGAGGACCAAACTAAGATAGGAGTTATGAGCTATCCGTATGGCAAGATGCAGCTTCTTCTTCCTACCTAAAATCTGCTATCATATGAAATGTATAAAATGATATTAATTAAGAAAAATGGGGTTCAATTCTTGATTCTCGATGGATCTTAAGCCAAAGTTAGTGAACCCCACCTAGGTTTTTAAGCCCTAATGAACATAATCAATTGAGTGTTGTTCCATTTTAATTCATTGGAATATAAATAATAATAATAATAAAAGATGAGGAAAAAAGAAAGCAGCAAAGTTGTAATGAGGAACAAGCTGTCAAATCACTCACTCCATAATTTCGGCAATGATCTTATAAAGAAAAGAACCAGCTATATTATATACAATCATCAAATATATTAATCACACTTAAACAATTTAAAAAAAAAAAAGAAAAAGAAAAAGAAAATGCTTTGAATTACCATGATTTTGAAAGCTCACCAACACCTTGTTCAAAATTAAAGTAGCAAAGATTATGGGATTCCCGAAATGAAAACTGAAAAACTTTCTTTAATTGGGCACTCATTACTGCAGATGATATGTCCAAATTGATGATCAGATATACATTGGCAGGATACTTGTTTTTCATAAAGCAAAATGATATATATAAGATGAAAAATTAGGAATTAAAATCGGGGACCAAATGTTGATGAGGACAGATTATGATGTGAGTCTTATGTAGATTCACACAATTAATGAGCAAAAATATTTCATTTCACTTCTTAATCTTAAATTTTAATCTTACATATTAGTGCTCTTTCAGAAAACAGCAACACTCCCAGATTTGTCTACTTATATGAGTACAAGGAAATTGAGAAAAGGTCCAGACCATAAATTGTCTCGGTCAATGTCCGCAAGGAGTGAGACCTAGCTTGTCTTGGCCTTGATCAATGCTTTCCTCAAGGCTACACCAAATTGCCAATTGGCCAACCGTCAGATTTTGGTCCTTAATCAATCAATTTTTTGAGACACATATATCTCACCTACAAATCAACAGTTCGATGGTCCGACTTAACATGGTCACATGATCAACATACGTGCAGGAGCACATCCTTGGCATCCTAACCTCACCTGTACTATACTACCATGTCCGTTGTTATCCGGTCATTGAACACTCGTACCTCTTTATCGAACCTCAAAATACAACTTTCTTTTTTTTTTTAACAGTGACAATTTAGAAAAAGTGAAAATGTCATCTATATAGCTTAAGGATGCAACTTACGGGATGTAATTTTTACTTGATCGAGGGTTCTGACTATTAAGCCAAGCTTGGGAATTCTCAAAATACAACTTAAAGCATGCACCTCATGTACATATTTTATCACAATATAATTTGTACTCTTTTTATTTTAAATTA